AATTCTATTATCAAGATAGACGCTAATTCTCAACTGTACATCTGATAAATTGTAAATCAACCCTTAAAACTCTTAAATCCCAACACCTAACCTCAGTACTCCTAAGCTTAGCATTCATAATCCAAATATATTGACCTTAACAGTTCATTCCACAGAGAAACCATAGTCTAATCCATTTTAAATAAGAAATATAATAAAAAATTATGAATTTCAGTAGCAAGCTATCTGCAACAGCAGTTTAAGGTCATCTATATAGAATGGTTTTAACGTAATTACTACTATCAGAAGGGATTTTGGTGGATATTACAGTGATTTCAATAGTTGTGATTATGAGTTAATTGAAACTAGACCACCATGGAAAACCTGGAAGCACTTTGTGTGATACAATTCCGAGTCTGGTACAGGTGTATTCACTGATTCATATATTAATAGTATTCTATGTTACCTATGAATGACTGACTGACATACTATGCATGTGTCATACCTGTTACAAAAGTTAGTAGATATTCAGACTTAATAGTTAAGTAGATAACGCGATGACGCTTTAAGCGAACGATGCGATTTTTGAGTCCTGGAGTATACATCAACTCTGAGATTTAGGTACATCCACTTGATAAGTCCCTAAATTGAACGATACATATATCGTAGACTCCATTACTAACCACATTCCATATATTCATATTGAATATATTGAAACAATAATTCTACTGTATGGGGCAGAAACTTAGAGAACTACGAAAGCCATCATCCAGAACATATAAGAGTTTTTTAACAGTTGTCTACGCAAAATACTTCGGATCCATTGGTCAGAAACTATCAGCAACAACCTACTATGGGAGAGAACAAATCAGATTCCAACGGAGGAAGAAATCAGGAAGAAGCACAGGAAGTGGATAGGATAAACATTGAGGAAAGCACTCAAATGTATCACAAAACAAGCCCTCACATAAAATCCTCGAGACCAAAGGAGAAGTTGAACACCAAACAACACATTACGTCGACAAATGGAGATAGACATGAGAAGAATGAACAAGAAATGGATAAAACTAGAAAGGAATGCCCAGTAGAGAGTGGTTTGTAAAATGCTGGTCGGCAGCTTATGATCCACTTTGAGAGAGAGGGGGGGGTAACAGGCGTAAGTAAGCAAATAATATGTAAACAATCCATACAGCATGACCATATGCCGAATATGAGTAATCAACGTTTAGGTCAAAAATATCCACAATGAATTAATCTAATCCATTTCAAATTGAATAAATAAGATACTTTCAAAGAAATATGAATAATAATTTGATGATCAAGTCAGTGAGTGTATCATTCATTTCTTTATTATTCATTATTCTATTTTATTTTAGAACAAAAGAACATTCATTTATGAATTGGAATAAAAAGTAAAATTTTAAAGGAGACAATATGAAGTTCCTGTCAACATTAATTCTGTTTTGTTACCTACCTCTTAGATGAATCAATTTTATTCATAAAAGTTTATCTATGATACAAGTATTTTCAAACTATGTCTTATTTCTATTCATTTTTATATTGGATTTTCTTTCTCTTTTCTTTTCTTTTCTTTTTTTCTTTTGGAATGTTCTCATCAATATTTAAGACTATAATGGATTAGTTTGTCTTATTAGCATATATATACATTCTGTACAGATTGTTTTGATATTACCTTAAATCATAAGTAGTATTATAGGTAGAGATAAATGATGGCTAGCAGTGGAAACCATGACACGCGTTTCGTCCTATTTAGGACTCATCAACCGGATGTTGCATTTCAAATCTAATCCTTTTTCTTTTCTTTTTTCAAGAAATATTTGTTCATATTAAACAGATTTATGCTGAAAATGAGATTAGAGCTCTATAAACTAAAGAAAAGATGAATTTTTTCCTAGACTATGTATATTTAGTGTTTACTTATTTCGTTTATACAGTTATATTACTTACAATTTAATAAGTAGAGTTTATTAAATCAATATATCAGCTAAGGAAATTCAACTATAATAATAGACATTGAATGTTGAAGGGTATTGAGTAATAAACACAAAAGCTTTTTATATTTGTTTCATGCTTTTAAGTGTATAAGTGTATGTATGCGAGGTTAATAGATCATCAATTGTCAATATAGGGAAGTTTTTGAAAATATACAATGACTACTTAGTATTTACGTTTAACCCCATACATTTAACCATGAACAAGATAATAAAGTACTACATATGAGGTTATTCTTATAAGACTATAGATAATAGCAAAGTCTGATAGGGAATTCTCAGTAATGGTAAGTAGTGCATATATATATAAAGAAAAACTAGAATGTAATATACTACTCATAAGGTTTTAGGAAAATATAAGTTTCAGAATATCTTTGGTTCGATCCACGGTAGAGTCATTGATGAACATTGCTGAAACGTTTCACACTACAATAAAACGATTATTTAGTACTTTTTAGTTCTCAGTAATTGTCTAACTAAGACCAGTTTTTCGATGTAAACTATAAAACTCAAGAATTTTCATAAGCTTTCTATGCTAATAGATCATGTGTGGTTATGTCTTTTCACCTTATACTTTGTTAATATCTACCCTATAGATCAATGTGTTTCTGAATTTGTAATGACTATTTTTTGTCTCAGATTAAAATCCTGTTGGGATACTTTTGAAAACCAGAAAGCACTAGATATCTGTTTCCTTTCATCTATGATCTGTAATATCGGTTTTCGTGTTAGGCCCGTATACCTTATTCTAGCTTTCGAACAGGTCAATCTATTCATTCTAGTTGAGTGACATTTTGACCTTGTTAATAATTATCCGCTTATCAATCTTGGTTGTTTTTATGTGAGCGTATGTGTGTGTGCACTTCTTATCCCATTCATCACATGTCTATCGCTTAATTTTGTGTGACTATAATTATTGATTAACACTTGGTTAAAGGAGAGTTGGCTTACCCACCATTTCTGCTGCGCGTCGTTTCGCTTCTTTCTATCCTATTCGCTGCATATACAAAATATATGTATTCAAAAGTCCATTCTCGTTATTTGACTCATTCAACTCCGTCATTCACTAACGTGATTTAAGTCGATGATTATATACGAGGATTGGGCAACATATAAATTTAGACAGCAATCATTCAATAACAAACATTCATACGATCTAATTGGAGTCAGTTCTACGGCTGCTAAAGTGGTGAGCCCTTTCAACAACATTGTCCGATCTAAATGACGATGAAATAAAGAACCCCATAGATCTACTTCTCAATCTACTCACTATTGGTTATAAAAATATAAACTTCATGGCTAAGATTCAATTTTGTACAGAATTCTTCAAAATATGATACTATCGGCGTGACTATAAGTTATGGATAAAACAATCAGATTGAGAATGACAGGTAGTGGATTTTGGCTCGAAATTCATTTACCCGTTTGACTAAATAGTGTATTGGCATTTTAGCTAATGTCAATTCATGATGAAAACCATAAATCTAATTCCTTATTCCTAATTATCAATTGTAACTTATAATCCTTATTCTTCAAACTACTTCATAATCCTCCTTTAGCTCTAATAAGTAAATGGACATTCTCAAAGTCAGCTTAATATTGTTCAATAGTCATCCATAAATTATAGTTTTTGATAAAGTTTTGTTCTCTAAGCTGGATGGTTTAGTTGTGAAGCTTTCATCGTTCTTCTGAATGACGTCGTCAATACAAACTTCAGTTAGAAATCTCATTATAATATCTATTAACATACATATATTGTAAATATTCAAACCAATCAGAAATCAGAGATTATTTCAAATGATCAATGTTTCAATTCTCATTTTACTATTCAAACAATCAATCAATCAATCATAATTTATGTCCAAATTCATCAATATTAAATTGTCAATTTTTAGATGGGAAAAAGAGGTAAGACTATAATTTATGGATGATTTCTGAGTACCGCCGAAGTAACCTTGAGAGTTTCTACCTCATAACCAGCATCAAATGAGGGTTATAAACCAGTATGTGACGAATTAGAATTATGATTTCATTTTATTTATTTAAACACATAAACATTGGTACAAAGAGGCATCAAACAGATATGCGCCACATATATCATTCGATTTATGTGAGGGCTAAGATACTGCCCAGGTGCTCAAACTGAAGCAGTTCGTTTTCTTAGGGGGCCACCCCATGAGCCTTTGACTTGGGAGTCTAATCCGCAAGGCAGTGGAGCAACGTCAAAAGATGCAGTCCCATGGTAGCCGGTGACCAACTATGGGTTCATACGCCATTTGTTTGTTCAGGATTCTGTAGGACATGTTCACCATTGGTTGGGAATCAAGATTTTCCAACTCCATATCCACCAACTTGGTTAAAGTGCCGGACATTCGCTTTTCGTTCTCTGAGTTTCGAAAACAACACCCATGCCACGAGAAGGCGTTGATTAAGACTTCCCTAGCAGTGGATGTATGCACGTGATCACTTGAGAGCATTTCGAGAGGGAGAGCTGATTCTCCCCACTCTCGGCTGTACAAAAGCATTTAGAAGAGGCGGATTATAATTTACAGTTGATGGGGTTAAGGTTAAGAATTAGATCAACAGTTTTTCATCATGAACTGACATTATCTATAATATCAAAATTCTAGCCAATTAAGTGAATGAATTTCGCGTACCGAAATCCAAAGACTTGACTGGTTCGTCTATAAATTCTAATCTGGCCGAAAAAGAAATGGGAAAAAAGATTTTTGATTAAGATCATGAACTGATTGATGTTAGACCATCATTGAAAACTTGGAAGCACTGGACAGCCATTTCGTCCTATTGTGGGGCTCGTCAGTAGTGCGCATCCACGATCCCGCTGGCGGGATTCGAACCCAGAGCCTTCAGTCTCGCACGCGAATGCCGTCCAGTACTTCCAGGTTTTCAATGGTGGTCTAACATCAACCAATTCATGATCTCAATCAAAAACTTAACAATCTCCACAACCCCTAAACTGATAAAAAGATTTTTTTTTCTTTCACTTACTTTGGTTTAGTAAAATTTAATGATGCATTAATTCCAATCATATTTTGATTATTAGGAGTATTATTATTATTATTTTTGTTCAATATTAAAGGATTGGAACATTGATTAGACATTGTTTCATTAATATTCTTAATTGGATATTTTAATTGTCCCATTAAAAGATTTTCTTGTTTATTTACAGATTGATTATAATGATGAGGATGATGATGATTCACACTGTTTAAATTGTTGTTGTTGTTGTTGCTGTTGTTGTTGTGGTGGTGGTTGTTTGGAATGTCTAATTTGTTGTGTAGATCTGTTTGTTTTGATAGACTACTATGAGTATTATTATTATTATTATTATTATTATTATTATTATTATTGATAGTACGTGCTGGTGGTAGTGGTGGTGGTTTAGGTGGTATTGATTGAACAACTAATGAATCCTGATGATGATCATGATCACGATGATCGTGATGATCATGATGATGATGACGTTGGTGATGTGTATCATTTTCATTGGAAATATGATTTTTTTGTAATTTAATCATTGATGGATAATGAATTGATGTAATTGTTGCTTTAGTTGGTATTGTTGATGTTGTTAAGAATGATGATTGTATTATTGATGAGGATGTAGTTGTATATATTTGGGATTGTTGTAATTTTTTTGTTTTTTGTTTAAATTTAGATAGATTGAAAAATAGACCAAGTATATATTTTAATTTACTATCAACAATGTCTAGAATATAAGAAGTGGATAGATAGGGGTGAAAACAAATTGTATATTGTTAGTAGTATATACAATGATTAGTAAAATATTAAAATATCAAAAAAAGGAAAACATTTGTATATAATGAATTTCAATAGTTGAAATCATGATTCAATTGAAGCTAAACTACTATAGGAAACCTGAAAACACTGGACGGCTGTTTCGTTTTAGTATGGTACTCCTCATCACTGCGCATCCACGATTCCGCCACCCGACGAGATTCGGACACAGAACCTATCAGTCTTGTACGAGAGCACTTAACCAATAGATGGCCGGTATCCAACTGTGTTAATGTCTAACTTCAACCAATCCACGAAATCGCCCCACCGCATACCATTGTTTTCAGTGAGTTACTATCTCAGAACATACCTGGTCGAACTCCACTGGTCACAGCTTTTCACTAGATCTCCAGAAAATGCCTCTTGAAGTCAGTTACTGAATGAATTGTTTACTATTTAGATTGAATTTCTCGCTATGTTCTTTTAGTTTATGATAGATAGACACTAGTTCATTTGAAATAGTCAACAGTAAATTATACTTTATCTAGATTCCCTAATAATTGATATTGATCAATATGATGTAGCTGAAATCTTGAAACAACTTTGAGATGAAAACGCTATCGAAAACTATCTAGTATAGTAGCTCACATGTGAATGAGTTTGGTTACATTTAATTTGCTTAAGCTCATTTTGTTAACTTATTTAACGGACAGAGTCATATGTACGATAATAACTTATCTTATATCATTGTACCTTTATCACAGTTGTAATTGTATGAATATGCATGCTCAAGCATTGTTTACTGTCTATGCATATATTCATTCTGCTAGCCTTACTGTTAGTCGCTTAATTGATTCGGTGTTGATGGAGTCACTCACTCACTCACTCACTTGCTCTTCAGCACTCGCATACCATTCTTTCTTTGTGTGCGTGTAGTTTTGGTGATCTGTTTATGTGTGGTGCAATCATAAACGTAATCAACATTTCATATTAGCCTTCTGATTAATACATCGTTGGAGCGTTATCTAGTGACGGTTATCAAGATGAACTGTATACGAAGTATTCACTGGGGATTAAATGACTACTTCTCTGAAAACAATACTACATAAGAATACTTAATTAGCATGAAAGTAAATACATTTTAGTAGTAAAATATAATGATGATGATTATTATTAGTCTTACCTTGAGCAGTAAACCCATTTGTTTCAATGCCAAGTAACTGGAGCACTTGAAAACAAGCCAATACATTATGAAGCTGAAATGATACAATAGAAACATGATCGACATTTGTAAAACACAATAATCAATTCGTTAAAAATGTCATTATGTTGTTTTAATAATCAAATTAGAATAAAGATTAGGTTACATTCTGTTTGGTTAGATTTGGTTGATAAAAACCCTTAAAAAAAAACTATGTCTTATCGATTAACTGAATGAATTCTGTTCAGAATATGTGATGGTTGTATACAATCTATCTGTTTGATCTCTTTGTCCTCCCCCCCTTTCTCTTTTTCTTTCGATCTCTTCACTCAAATACCCCTAGTTAAGTAGCCTTTTCAAAGTGTTTGGTAACATTCAGCATTTATTTGGAATACTATTTTATTGACAAAAGCTTTACATGCTACTCTTAAGTAGTTTTCCATGGTGGTCTAGTATCGATTGACTCATGATTTAAACTATTGAAATTACTACAATCTCCGCAAAACTCTTTCTGATGAATAATCATCTGCTCACTAGTGACTAACTTGAAGAGGCATTTCCTGGAGTTTTAGTGAGAAGCCATGAACAGTGGAGTTTAGCTAGGTCTGTTGTGAGATATCAGCTCACTGAAGACAATGGTGTACAGTGGGGCAATTTTGTGGATTGGTTAAAGTTACCCATTAACACTGACGAGCAAATTCTGCAAAGCCAGCGCAATCTCCAACTGACACTACAAAGTGCACATACACATACACACACGCTCATATAAAAACAGTTAAGGTTGATAAGCGACTCTAGACTGACCTTGAGAGTGTTCACCTAATTAATAACCAGGACCAAATGAGAGTTATGAACCTGTATGAGGAATTATAATTATAATTTACAGTTGATGATTAAGGTTAGAAATTAGATCTACGGTTTTTCATCACGAACTGACATCAGTTATAATGTCAAAGCTGTATTTAACCAAATGAATAACTGAATTTCACGCACCAATATCCAAGACCTGTTATCTTATACCTAATTGATACGTCTATAAATTATATTCTCGCCACGAATAATTAACATGGTCAAAATGCAGCTTGATAAGAATGAACTAAACTGTCTTATCCTGAAGCTAGAATAAGCTCGACATAGGACCAACCACTACAAGAGTTACTATACTATTTCTTGTTAAGATTAGATATTTACAGTTAAAATCAAAGATTGATTGCTGAAAAACTTAGAATTAAACGTTACGGATCAGATTTTAGATCAGAATTAAGTATTTAGGATGTATGTAATACAATTTGCCTACAAATGATCTATCAAACATGCACAGTTTTACATTATTATTACCCCCCCCCCTCCAAAAAATAGTCATCTAGATCATGTAAACAACCGGTATGATTTATCAATACTCAAGTAATGATAAATGATTACTTACTGATTGAGCGGATGTTTTTGGATTTCGACATAAACGTTGAACTTTGATATTAGCTAGATGAAAATAAAAAGTGATTTTAAAACTAGATGATACAATGTGTGAAATAGTAGAAATGAATGGAAAAGAAAACAGGCTAATGTTACTGAAATGAATTCAATGGATTGTAATTATCATCGAAATTGATGACTTATTTATGATCTTAAGACTATTCAGTTGAATTTGTTCACATCTGTCGTGCTATTTACAATGAGAACAAAACTTTGCATCAATCATTATGAGCAAAGATAGTTGGTGGCTAGCAGTGGAATCTAAGATGGGCGTTTTGTTCTATTTGGGACTCATCAGCTAAATGCACTGGCATCTCAGAGTTAATGTTCACTCCACGACTCGAACTCCATGCGAGTTACTTTGATATTACTTTAATTCACAAGCATTTTATATTATATCCCCATAAAAATAATTGGTTTAGATGAGACTATAATTTACGGACGATCTTTCAATGACCTTCAGAGTGTCTGCCTAATTAATGGGGACAAATAAAGGTTATAAATCAGTTTGAGGAATAAAGGTATTGACTTACAGTTGACAGTAAGGATTAAGATTTAGATTTATGGTTTTCATCACGAACTGACATCAACTAAAATGCTATGACGCTATTAAGACGAATGGGTGAGGGAATTTCGAGTCAAAATCCAAGACCTGTTATCCTAGATCTGATTGATTCGTTCATAAATTATAGTCTCGCCCAGGTTTATTTAGATTATTGAAAGTCTGCGAACGAGGTGAAGTAATACATGTGTATGTGTGTAAGTGTCTTAGTAGTTGTGTGAGTCAAACGTGGACCATTGAGTCATAATGACTAGCAGTAGAGAAATATACTAGGATACATAAAAAATCATGGGTTCGAAACTAAGCTTCATCATTCATGAGCTTACTTGAAATATTTTAGATTAATCTTCATTAGTTCAATATCATCAGTGTGTTTTCCGTTTTACGCCACCGGTGATAATTGTCACGAGAATATTTGTTATTTTTATCATCATACTAACTAAATTATAGTAGTAATGTTGAATTCATAAAAACATTACAGTCATATGATTTAAATGAACAACCAGCTGAAAAGTTGGAACTTTACCGAGGTGTACATGAATACACTGATTCAGAAGAATGACAGTTAAACAAGGCATTAAATATGGCAATATAAATATTTAAGAATCAGTGGTATTAATAGATCTGATCCCGAAAAGTATCGTAAATGGGGACTATTGTAAAATTTCGATATTGAACGACAAAAAACATTAAATTGTTTGGTCTGTGATGTAAACTACCTCATAAAAGTGACCTATCTATCTATCTATCTATCTATCTATCTATCTATCTATCTATATAAATACATTTAAGCCTGTTGCTTCTCTTCAAGGAGCATAGGTTACCCACCAGTATTCTCTATCCAACTCAGTGGTGGGCAATCCTTTCCGGTTGTTTCCACTTGCTATTCATCCTTTTCATATCTGCTTCCAATTCTCAATACAGTGTGTTCTTCGGCCTTCCACTTTTCCTTTTGCCTTCACGATTCCAACTTAGCGCTTGCCTCGTGATGTAGTTCGATAATTTTCTCAATCTGTCTTATCCACTTCTAACCTCTTTTCCTAATTAACTCCTCAGCTGGAAAATGGTTTGTCCTCTACCATAGTAAGCTGTTGATGATGATATCTGGTTAACGGATTGTTTATCAATACTTGTACCTTTTTAATGATGGCTATAGCAGTTCTCGAAGCTTCGTCTCCGTACAGTAGAACTATCTTGACGTTCATATTGATATTAGTTGTCAGTTGTTTTGAGTTTTATATGTTCTTGAACTGTAGGAATGCTGTCCTTGCTTTACTAATCCCTGCTTTTGTATCCTACTAAATGGTCACTAACATCAATAATCGTCACTCGTCTATTCCACTGCTAGCCATTATGCAACCCTTCATATATATATATATATATATATATATATATATATATATATATATATATATATATATATATTAGCGTTATAACTCGTGGACCTGTGTACCCTCTAGACTTCTCGCACGGGTCTTACGTTTCATTGGTCCGATCGATAATCCATTGCTCTCTAATTAGAGGTATCGTTACGTTATACATTAACAGGTCACATAGGTCCATAAGTTATAACAATTAGGTCACAAAACGAATGCAAAATAATGATGTATACATAAATTAGCAATACACAACAACCAACTTACCTACTGCATGTATAATATCCGCTAACAATAGTCCATTGGATAAATCCTTTTGTATATTTTTTATTAAATTTGAATAATTTGCTTTTTCCAAATAATGATTCGCCCAATCTGTATATAACTTCAATTAAAAATACAAAGAAATTCTAGTGAATATTTCACGTTTGTTAAAATTAGGTGTTAATAATCTCTTTGATCTTGATACTCACGTTCGCGCGCAAGACTGAAGGCTCTGGGTTCGAATCCCGCCAGCGGGATCGTGGATGCGCACTGCTGAGGAGTCCCACAATAGGACGAAACGGCTGTCCAGTGCTTCCAGGTTTTCAATGGTGATCTAGCTTCAATCGGTTCATGATCTTAATCAAAAATTTACTTACCAGTG